ATAAATATGAAAACGAGAAAAGGATAAATATGTACATAATTATTCTTATTTCCATACTCAATTAAAAAGTTAAAAATTAAATGTTGTTCCTACTAATCAGTGCAGAAATTTATCCTTAAAAAAATAATTCAAATAATATTAATAAAAACGAATTTATTTATCATTTTCAATGCTTTTTTTTCTTCACCATCAATAAATAAATAATTAAATTATGCATTACAAAGATACTCATTAAAAATATCATTTAATATACATTAAAGATTTTGGTGCAAATATTTCCATTCGTAATCCCTGCTCCTTTTTTAGGGTTTGTTTACTTAGAGTATTTAGACAAGATTATTTGGGAAAAGTGATTGAATGAATTTGTGGGTAAATATTTTGTTGTTTGTTTGAGTAGATTTGTAGGTAATTGAGAGTGGATTTGGAAGTAAAGTTTGTGAGAATTAATTTAGGATTTGATTGACGTGACAAAATAAAAAAAATTGTTTAATGGGTAGAAATTAAAGATTACCAAAATGTCCCTAGTTATTAAAGTAATATAAAATGGTAATTGTTAATGTTATATTTAATTGTAAAAATGTTTATAAAGAGTAAAAAATTAAAAATAACTATTTAAGTTAATTTTTAAAATGTAAAAAAGTTATAGAATCAGGAAAATGAATTTATTTTTAAATGTAGTATTAATTTTGATGAAGTTGAGTATGTGTAAGTGAGGTGCATGTTTAGGCTATGTTTGGGATTAGATGTGAGCTTTGAAAGCATAGAGTTACTAACATGGTAGTAGTGCTCTCTTTTCAGTGAAGTAACAACCTGTTATACTAAAAATACTTTCATCATGCTAAGTCCAAAATCCAATTAGGTGCCGTCGACGGACTCCAAACTCTTGTCCTCATGAACTAGGTTACATCCACTACTCCGATGCACCGTCACAGCCCCCGCCCTCACACGCTGCGGGAAATCTCGTGTTTCTCAATCCCGTCGTGGTTGTCGGCGCCAACAACAACGACTCCTTCAACCCTCACGTGTCGTCCTCTCACACCCAACAATTCGTTGGAATCCCCCTCCCCGCTTCTCAGGACCTCAACCACCACTCCATGCACGGGCACCACGATGTCTCGGCACTGCATGGCTTCCTCTCGCGCATGCAGTACAATCACTGGAACGCATTAGACTCGATTTCGTCTTCATCACGAACAACTTCGTCTTCATCATCAAAGACGCTGCATCCTCCATCATCAAGGACAACTTCAGTTCTCCTTCTTCATACAAGTGGAATCGAATACTAGGCACGGGAACCGAATACACCTTGGCTTTGTTGTTCTTCATGGGCTGGAATCGAATAAATCCCCCTTGGAACCAAATACACTTTGCTCATCTTCATCTTCTCCAACTTCAAACACTCATTCTCTTCATTAACCACTTTCTTCTTCACCTACCACCAACCTACAACAAAAAAACAACAAATACTCCTCACTCGTCAAGGAATGAATCTTTTATGTGCATTGGCTGTGTGAAGCAACTTCAGAGGCCCAGGAATTAGTTTCACATACAGGACCACTTGTGACTTTTTCGAAATGATTCCTCCAAATCTCACCACATTCGCGAGTGAGTGAACAGTAGGGTCATCCCGCTTTTACCTTCAAATCCGTCTGTGCATTTCTCCTCATCCAAACACGA